ATGGCTAAGTGAACACAGCCAGCCAGCATTATGGAACAGGGAACAGAATGTTTACTACCAACTGCTGCAAACTATCAATCCAAGTCACAGATACGTCCAGGTGGCAAGCAACTGCACAGAATGATGGCAGGGCTGCACCATTTAGCAGGAGAAAAAGTTAAGAAAAAGGACACCTTAAAAGCTACTTATTGCTGGAAAGCCAGTCCTCAGAATGCTGAATAACACTCACTGCAACAATTTGCTTACAAAGCAGCAGAAAGATTAGGAGGAAAGCCCATGGATTTAAGAATATCCCTTGGTTCTTCTCACAAAAGCCCTCCAGAGGACCTAGTTCAAGTTCAAACCCACCCTTGTTAGTTTCTCTACCCCTCAATTTGTATTTTTGTGACAGCCATTGAAACAACTGGGAATGGCCTCCAGCTTCACCTGCACTGTACTCAGAGGTGTGAGGACTAAAGGGTTACGGAGCTGTTTGCTTGTAGCTCACCTAGCACGGTAACTGTCGATGCAGAAGCAGCCTCCAAATTTTAGTTCCCATGTCCTCACCAGCTGCTTCTGCCGCCAGACCCTGCCCTACTCCAAACATACTCATTGATCATGTTTTCCATCACCCAAGTTTAAAATTAGGTGCCAGGGTCAGCAGGTTCCTTCAGTGGGATGTCACATACAATGGGTTCTTGATGAGAAATGATCATAACAATGAAATACCAGGAAGGGTTGTGGAAGAAACAGAACCTGCCCTAGGAAGCAAGGTTTAGAACTAAACCATACCCCACTACAGGGATAAGCAACTCTCAATCAGTATGAGATGATTTCAGTAGGACAAGAGGCCCCTAGGACTCACCACTTTTCCATAGTTGAGGAAAACTCAGAATGACAAGTTGAAAGTATTGACTCACATCCAAAACAAATGACTTCCCCAAAATAAGAAAACAGACCAAGTTACAGGGAAGCTTGATTATTCTAGACTCACAGACAAGATTAGGAAGGAGAACCCTAGGGGAAAACAAGATAGCTCTCCAGGTTCTCGGGCTATGAGCTGCTGGCTCTTCAAAGCCCTGAAATGCTCTAGTAAGAGCAAGTCATGTTGCAAGCTAGAACCAGGAGGCTAGCAGTAAAGTGCAGGGAAACCAATTTGTTTCCCTTTTCCTTCCAACCAAGTTTCTAGGCTAGAACATGGAGAGGAGGCATGCCTTTGTTAATGGAAAAAAGCCAAACTCTGCAAAATAATTTTAAATAGATTTATTCTGAGCCAAATTTGAGGACCATGACCTGGAGCCACTGCCAAGAGGCCTTGGGCAAGTGGACTCGCAGTGGCTGGGTTACAGTTCAGTTTTATACATTTTTAGAGAGACAGGGGTTACAGAGAAAGTCACAAATCAATACATGAGAGGCATACATTGGTTTGGCCCAAAAAGGTAGGACATCTCCAAGCAGGGGCTTACAGGTTATAGGTGGGTTTAAAGATTCTTTAGATTATAATTGGCTAAAGATATGAAGCTTTGTCTAAAGACTTGGAATGTTTTAACATAAACTGTTTACCAGAGATAAGCCACCATTTGTTGCATAAATTGAGGACCTGCAGGTTTGTCTTGCATACCCTTAGGCCTGTTAATGGGTTATAAAGGAAGTCTCCCAGAAGGGAACCGGGCATGATAAGGTTTGTCTGACCTCCCTCCTCTTGGCAGGCAACTTTGCCCTAGAATATTCCTTTGGCCACGAGGGGGTCCATTTAGTCAGCCGGTGGGGGGAGAGTGAGCATTTTAGTTCACACCGTTAATTTAAATCACTAAAGTGATTTCACAGAAAGACTCAGGGCTTCTTTGGAGTGGAGGGTTGGGGGGGGGGAAGCAATGCTTAAGCACCTATCATGAACCAGCCACAGTACAGTCTCACAACTATGATCTCAATTTGTCTTCAGGATGGGGAAGGATACTATGGTGGCTAAAACTAGCCTTTCCCAAAAACCATGGCTATACATCCATAGCCCAAGAATAATTTGGGTTACCAGGTAGCAAGACAAATTGCTTTAAAATATTAATGCTCACCAACTGGAGACACATCGACTTCAGCACCTGAGCAGGCCGTGTACAACAGACATCTAGCTCCACTGTCACCCTGCAGTGGCCAGGTGAGAATGCATTTCCTAGAAACATCTGGAAGGTGGGAGAGAGACTCCTACAAAGGATCCCACCTGGACACAAATCCCTTAGACCAGTCTCACAGGCCAGAATCAGTTCCTACAAGTTCTGGGCCATCACTTAAAACATCCATGACAATGGAGCCTATTTAATCCAGTAATGGACTGGATCTTTAGTGATTTGCATACCTGTAGGATCCAGAGAACTTCCTATAACCTAGAGCCATGTTTCATAGAGAATACACCCAAGAATTATTACCCAGAACCTACAAAACATGTTAGAGGTGAAAGAGGAAAGTTTCAACACAAATCAAAAAAGGCTCCCAAAACAGAACTTCACTGGTTTCCAGTGCTCAGAAGAAGTCTTAAATAATCAGCAGGTTAACCACTTGAGTGCCAAGAACAGAGAAATCAGATAAATGATCCACCAGGCTGCCCTCTTCACTTCAAAGATGCTCTGTACCTTTAAGAGCAAAAGTGGATGGATGGTGCTAAGAGTCCAAGCTTTGCTTTCTAAATAAAGATTTTTAAAAAATAAAGGTACTAATTTGGGAAGGACTTAGCAGTTACATGAGCATGTAAGGTTATTGGTTGTCAGAATTAATAGCTTTTTGTGAACTGGTGTTCCTTGATCAGTAACTAACAGATATGGCTGTACCAGGTACAGCAGCCTAGATTTCACTATAGGAGATAAATCTAAACCCCAAATAGCCTGCACTTCAGTAGGTGAAAGATAGTTTAACCTCACTAAGTGACCGGCGTGTACACCCTACCCGGCTTGAGAGGCCTCCACTTCACACCTGGAGCGAAGTCCACGGGGTTTGCGTTAACCGCGACAGAGGGGCTGGAAGGTGCCCGCCACCCTGGACATCTCCGGGGTGAGGAGGATCCCGGAACACCCAGGGCTTCCCTACCGTCCGGAGTCGCTTCTGCACAGCCCACCACGATCAGCACCTTTCCTCGCCTACCCTTTCCAGGGAGGGGAAATGGAAGAACCTTAACCTCGGGCACTAAATAGTTGAACACTGAAAGCCCGCCTTGGAGGTGCCCAGCCCCCGGCCTCTCCAAGCACACTGTGGCTCGTAACCCCAAAACAAGCGTGGTCCCCTCAGATCGCAGACCGAGCCTGGCACGTGACCCTTGGCTCCCCCAGGTTGAGGTCAGCCGGCACATGGGGCTGGGCGCCTCCGCCTCTCCTGACAGGTGTCGTGGCTACGAATGCTAACCCGCTGGAAACGCCCATCCCTGGGACCTCCGCACCCGAACTCGGGTGAGACGGCCCCTCCGCCCGAACACGACCGGACAGGATCAGGACCGGTCTCGCAGCCCGTCCTCCCCGTTCCGTGAAGCCGAGCCTTCCCACTGGTTATCCGCACCGAACTCCAGGCGCTGGGCTACCGGCTCGGGGCCTCCGCCGCCCGGCCACGGTGGGGCGCCACCCGGGGCGAGCCCGAGGGCCCAGAAGTTGGGTGAAGCTCCGGAAGGGACCAATCAACCCAACCCCGCAGGGGCGGGAGGGATCCCCGCGGACTTGGGGGCCTCCTCGCCCTTCCGCGCACCTGGCCCTGCCCGGAGCCCGCCCCGCCGCCGCTATCCCTGCTCAGCCCGGGCACACACGACCTTCGGAAAGTAGACGCACGTGGGCTGGGCGACCTTGGGTGGGACGCGCTCAAGGAAGGTTAAGGGGCGGAGAGGCGTCCCGGGCGCCGTGTCCTCTCCCCCAGCGGACGGCGACGCGCTGGGGGCCGGCGCGGCCGCGAGCGCCGCCCAGAGCCAGGCACAGGCGGCCTGTCGGGAGCCCGCGGGCACACAAGCGGGCGAGGGAAAGGAAGAGGCCTGCCTGACAGGAGGTCGAGGCCGGCAGCGTCCGCACACGCTCGGCGTCCCATGCCTCTGGCTCCCGGGCACCCGGAGCGCGTCGCACGCTGCACCTGCACCCCAGGCTCCCCGTCACCCCGACCCCACCGCCCTCGGGGCTCCCCGGCTGGCCGTCCCCAGGGCCCCAACCTACCAGCTCCTCCGCGCCCGCCGGCGTGGGGAGTCCGCGTGCCGCAGAGGCCGCCCCTGGCCCCCGCCTCTGCCCCGCGGCCCGGCAGCTCCCCCACGTGCTCGCCTATGAATTTTTTTGTCTCTTGAAAAATCATGTTATGAACTTTTCTACTATTAGATATTACGAACTGCTGTGATTTTAAGGATCTAGCTGGATAAAGCCTTAGAAAATGTGCTCTGGGTGTCCACTGGGTGCGTGCGTTGAGGGAACCTGAATAAAAGCCCTGAGACACGGAAACCCAGCTGTGTCCCTAGAAGTGGAGAGAGCAGACCGCAGGCAGGGTGGACCGCGCCGGAGAGGGCAGCAGCCGGGAGTGCCCAGTGTCTGGAGGCCACGGTCAGTCCTGTGCTGTTTTCCAGTAGGAGACCACTGGCAAAGTTTGTAACGAGGAGAGCGACGTGATGACATCTGACTCTTCAAAGCGGAGTTTGATAGAATCTGAGGGTATTTTGTAATATTAATTAAATAAAATAAAAAAAAATAAAAAAAAGAACAAAGCGGAGTTTGCCATCGTCAGGTTGAGGTCACCAGTGGGGCGGGGATCTGTGCTGCTGCCGGTGGGCTGCCCTGAGAGCACAGCATAAACACAGGGTGCTCCGCTGGAGCGCAGGGGCTGCGTCTGCCCGGGGAGACACCGGGAGACCCGCCTTGGAGTCATGCTGCTCTTCAGATCTGCCGAGGCTGGGAAACTGAGGAACAGTCTCAGAAACAGTTCCAGAAAAGGAAAACTGGAACCAGAGGGAAAGTTGGGGAAGGCAGTGAGTGAAGGGGGCCTAGTGGATTGGACTGTCAGGGAGAAAGGTGTATTACCTGATTTGGGGGCTAATGGTGGTCACCTGGGAGAGTGTCGCTGCTGTGGGTAAAACACACGGGAGTACTTGGTGTGAAGTAGCAAATCCCACCCAGCAGTGACGCTGGGGAATCTCAGGCAGGACAGAGCACTCCGCTGCGATTGCACGTGCCCTGGAAGTAGGACATTATTGGAGGACCACTCACCCCGTCAGAAACGCAGAGACACCAAACTTCCTCACGGAGACTGAGCGAGACCCACGTCCAGCTCAGCACAGCGGTGCAACCAAGCGCTGGGCTGAGTCTGGTGCCACATTAGCGTGGAGAGGCCACCGCGTGGACGTCACACCCGTGGCCACCACGTCCTGGGCGCGGGGGACCTCGGTGTGGTGGAATCTGTGGGTTCCCCATTTCCACACGGAGCCCCTCCCGGGTCTCTGAGGACCCGCTGCCCCTCAGCAGGCGGCTGTGGACACGAAGGCCGGGCCCCCGGGGCTGGGACAGGAAGGTCGCACTCACCCCGGTGCCTCAGGTCTGCGGACACTACCGCCTCAGGCGCAGGGACGCGGCTAAGGGGCGGCGCCGCGTCTTCTCACGCAGTGACGCGACGGCGCCGCCCCATCTCCCCTCACGCACAGCGCGCCGGCCCCGCCTCCCCTCACGCAGGGCGCAGCGCCCAAGGGAATGATGGGCGGCCCGCCCCCTGCTGGCCGTCGCGAGCACTGCAGCCCTCAGCGCTCATGGGGCAAGACAGGCCCCCTGATTATCTCTACTTTCTGCTATTTCCTCTTTCATGCAGAACTTTAGGGTAGATGAAATAAAGTTTAAGACATAAACTTTGGACATTATCATTTCAAATATAGTACAGCCAAGGGTTAGATCTTTTCTCTCCAAGTCAAAGAGCAGGGAAGAGCTGTAACCACAATGTCCACAGCTGTGTGCAGTCAGGGTCCAAGTGGGCGACATGGCTCTGATGGAGAGTTGGGCGTAGGACAGGGGCTAAGGTTCCAAAGGAACTCAAAGGGAGGAAGAGCTGCCTGGTGCCCAGGCAGCAGCAGGGAACCAGAAAGCAGGGATTTCTGCAGACAGAACGAGGAGGCTCAATGAGTCCCAGAAAACATCACCTCTCACATGTGCTGGCCTCTGCTTTGATGACCAGCTGCCCTCATCCCTGTGTGAAGTCAGCCAGTAACCATCCCCAACTCCAACCTCATTAGCAATTACAGACAAGCAAATGTGAGTCTACAACAGTTAAAAAAAAAAAGGACAGCAAGAAATGAAAGACCAATATGATCAAACTGACAGCCACCTCCAGAGAAATAAGGTCCCATCCTCTTTTTGGCCCCACATCCTCCTCTGTTCAAGGGAGAAGCAGACTTCTCAGTCCCAATCATCCTATTTTCAGACAATAAAGCATATTTTTTAAAACTTCTAATTAGGATGTTCAGAAAGGTATAAGGTAGTGCATGCACAGAAAGTAATCTATGAAGAAAATTCAGAGATCAACAAAGACAGCTTGAAATTCTTTAAAAATATTTAAATGTCAGAATAAAAAATTGGAAGACAATGTAAGAAATATCCCAGAAAGCACATAAATAAAACAGCAAATAATAAAACATAAGATAAAATGTAAGCTCTTGGGGAGATGGGTCCAAGAGTTCCAACATCCAAGTAACACTTATGCTAGGAAAAGAGAACTAAAAACATGGAGGGAGGCACTTATCAAAGAAATTAAAAAGAGTATTATGAAAATTGGCCAGAGCTTAAAGGAGACCTTGCTCTTTACACTGAAAGACTTAACAGCAAGATGAATTCAAAAAGATCCATACTTGGGACCATTAGTGTGAAATTTCAGAACACAAAGACCAAACAAAAAACAAAAAACAAAAAGAACCTAAAAACCTAAAAGATCACCATAAAATCTCTAAGGAAAAATAGGTTATCTGTACAGGAATAAACATCAGAATGACATCTGACTAAACAACATGAAATGCTACAAAAACATATGATGACTTCAAATTTCTAAGAAAGTATTTTCAACTGGGAATTCTGTCCCTGCCATATTGTTAATCAAATGTGAGGGCAGATTAAAGAAATTTTTAGAACATATGAGAGCCAATTTCTCTCACAGGCACCCTTTTATGCAAAGTTAATTATAACATCATCTCCAATAAAATAAGGAAATCAAGAAAGGAAAAATAAGACTTGCAATTCAGAAAGGAGCAAACCCAGGGACCCAATCCCCTACCCCTACCCCCAATTCCTAACTATAACCCCCAACCCCTAAACCCTAACCTTGTAACCCTAAATCCTTGGATATGCCAATCCTAAGCAGATAAGCCAAAACACCACATGCTTTCCTAACGTAAATCAATATACTTTTAAAGTTTTTACCTGGGTGCTGTTGATTTATTAGATTCCAAATATCTAAAAAGGTTGATTTTGCCATTTCTCCCCCCCACCTTAATTGCTGCTTCAGTACCAATTTTTGAACTCCCTACTTGTCCATTTTCTGTTACGTTAGCCTCTGTTTATGTTAACATCTCAAGTTCACACCCTTCAATCAACAGAGTTCACTAATTCTATACATTATGTTTTTCATGTAAGTCTCTGAAATCAGACATTTCATCTTCAATTCTGGCATACAGCTTCCATGTAGCAGACACTTAAGAATTTATATATGAACCAAATTAACTGAAGCAAATAAAGTACTTTTCTGCCCCTTAAGACAGATGTCATTATCAAAATATTATTTAACATTCTCAAAATATGGGAAAATTCTGCTAAAATATTAATGCAAAGACTCTTCAAACCCCTATTCTCTTATGTACTTGGAGTTAGCCACTTTTCTATTTGCTTATTCCAATTTCATTTTTTTGTTGTTGTTGGACAGGGTCTTGCTGTCGCCTGTGCTAGAGTGTAGTGGCGTCATCATAGCAACCTCAAACTCCTGGGCTCAAGTGATTCTCCTGCCTCGGCCACTCAAAGTACTGGGACTACAGGCATGACCCACCACACCCACACCACAATTTCAGACTTTCTAATTAAAAATAATGCCATCCCTACATCTACTATTAATGTTACAGAATTAAGCAATACAAATATCTAGTAAAAGTAAACACATAAAGAAAAAAGTGTATTTTTTAAGATTTTGTAAAAAATGTATTCAAGAATTTAAATCCCACACAGGACACAGAAGCAATGCTGAGGATAAAATATCTTAACTACCTTTATTGATATCATTTCTATTCATCCATGTATATAAGCTCATTAAAATCCATGCTTCAAATTTCTTGGATTTTTCCCTAGTAAGTTCCAGGCTAACAAAAGTATTTTCACATACATATTTGATTCTTACATACTTAACATCTATTAATTTGAAATTTGTTTTGCATCAGTCTAGGGCTTTACTACTTTTCAAGACAAAAGTCACATATTAAAATACAGACTACTCAAAACATAAAAGTATACAGTTGCCAAGAATGTGGTTTACAATATAGATCTTGAAGATAATACAGACTATATTATGATTTGTCTGTTTGAAAACAGAAAACAATGTATTATACTGAATTCTGCAGTCAGGTGCACAAGAAAACTTATTTACAATCCTCCTTTATTTTATAAGATAAATACCAAACTATTTCTCACATATATTACAACCATATTTTTTAAACCAAATTTTGGTTTAAAAATCACAAACTGACAACATATAAATACAAAATGCTAGGAAAAGTTTAACATCTAAGGGAAAAAATATGTCTTATGCATTGTAATGATTTCTACAATCTAGCATAAAGGCAAATGCGATTTTTAAAAAACACAGCCCAAATACAATTATGGAAAAAATTTAGTCAAGCCATCTAATACAACAAATTTCACGGGTATCATTCATTATGTCCGAAAATTTTCATGTACATAGAAGTCTCTACATAACAATTAGAATAATGTCAATAAGGATCTGCAAACTATGAAGTATTAGCAAGTAAACTTAAATCATGCATTTCTCTCTGAATGAAGCTTGACTTTGAGTTAAAAGGTAACAACTATGAACTTTTTTTAAAATAACTTAAATTCACCAAACTAGGGCAATGTACATGTTTTCCCAGCTATGCATGCAGACTGTATTGTAAAAATAATTAAGTTACTAAAAAAAGTAGAAAAGATTCAAAATAATCATAACTCAGTTAAGCTGGTGAAACCACAAAGACATCAAAGCCCAGCAACTTCCAAGAGTCTAAGGGTTAAAATTAATTATAAAATCTGGATACGTAATCCTATGTCAACACTTATGAATTTATGTTTAATGTTAACAATTTTTACTACTACTCTTGTCTTTGGGTAAAAAAAAAATGTTCTGGAATAAACAATGTAACTTCAAATCATTTTGCTATCTGACTACTAGAAAGACTGCTTTTCTTCTAGCCCCACAATTTGATAGGATAGAAAGCTCTCCACACACAAGTCCTGGTGAAGATTGATTTCGTAAGTCGCTGTGAGTTACACTGTTCTAATACAACTGAGCTACTAAAATACAAATATTTGTTCTCAAGAAAAATTACAAAACTAACAAATCTCTTTTTCTCCAGAATTATAAAAGATAAAATCTATGAATCAGTACTCTAATATGACGACAGAAAAATAGCAAACTGAAGTTAAAAAGCACAGGCTGTCTATAATACAGGCCCCAATCTATTTCCTGCCGTCTTAATATTTTCCACCTGTTCTAAGGATTGAGTGTGTCGACACCTAGAAACCCGTTACAGTCTTTAAAGTTGGGTAAATAAACATCTCTATGGTTACGGTAAAAGTAGTTTACCTTACTACTTACACGCACAGAAAAACTTGTTTCTTTTTTCAGGATATTCTTTTAGGGATTACTTGACAGTGGTTCTTTTAAAGGTAACAAAGGGGTCAGAAAAAGACTCCTTGAAATTGTTTTGGAATTCCCAGAAAGATACCCCACAATTTGATCTTTTATTCTTCCTCCCTCATCACAATTTTTCCTTTTAAAAATTATAATTGACAAATAAGAATTAATTAATTTACTTAAAATCAGGGAAGGCTTCTCAATAATGTTTTCCCCTCTAGAAAACTAAGTTCAGTGAAACTCAGTGCCAGTAATTAAGAGGTTGTTATCATAAAATTCAAACTTGGACATAGGTGTATCATACCCGGAAAAAATTGTATACATTTACAAACTGGTGCTTTGTTTCATACTTTATAAGCAACACAGGTTAGTTTCAACTTCAGTTTTCATTTTTAATGCATAAAATCTTGTGCATCTTGTGAAATGGACAGACATCAAATAGTCTCTACCATGTACACTTTAGTGTTTCACCAGAACTAAAACAGAAACACCCTTCTACCCTTCTCTAAGAAGATCCTCTCCACTTTGGGAAAACATTCTTCTATGCAGTGTAGATCTTGTCGGATTACGTAAAGAAATCACACCACTGAATCAAAATTTTAGAGGACAATCAAGAACTAGAAAAAGAAGACTACAATGTGGACAAGTACAGCAGTTCCCTTCCCCATAGCGTCTGCTCCCAGGTGTCCCTCCACAGCAGACAGGCGGCACACACATCAGACTTGGCAATCTGCTCTTCCTCATTTCCCTTCTCAAACAGGACATTTATTTTTCTCTGTAATAAAGCAAGTAGTATTTCAGGGGATCTGGTAGAGGGAGGCTCAGGACTTTCTGGCGCAGGAAGTTCACAGGGGGGTCTGGCTTTGTTTCAGGTGGGGTCCTCTCTTCCTCTTCCCGCCGTTCCTCTTCCAAGTCTTCACAGCTGTTGTCATCAGAGGGGTTGGAAATCCGACTGGCAAAGACCTCTTTGTCCAAAAAGACAATCGTTTCCATTCGACGGCGGCGAACTCTCCTGCGTTTAAACCTGGGGGTGTTCTTTAGTCCGTTTCCATTTTTGCTCACTGTTTCCTGATGAATGACCTTTTTAATGGTGCCCCGGATGGCAATGCGAGCCAAGTCCTGGAGGCTGCGAACTGCCACTGGAGCTACAGTGCAAAGAAGAGACTGTCAAACGCATCCAAGTGACGCCACCACAAAGCCTAAACACCTAAAAATCCTAACGTTACTTGAATTCACTGGCAAATTTACAAATATGTTACAAGAATGTGAGAGTATTCTAAGCAAGTGTCAATTAGTGCTCTAATTTGCATTCATATGGTACTTTTCTAAAGATATTTTCAAATGCACTAACTCTTAACTTCAAAAAGAAAAGGAAGCAATACTGTTTGTCTAACCAATCAGTGGCAGCATTAAAACCTGGGTTACAGTTTATTTCTTTGACAGCCAAGTTTCATTACTCTGTTCACAGTATTCACTCATATATTAATACTCATCCACTAGTAATACAGTAATTATGTCACCAATATTATTTTATCAATTTTAATATCTTCATAGTTATTTACAAATTGAATATTTGTTCCTTTCCTATGAAAGTAGGGAAATGCAAAACCCAAATATTTTTAAGAAAAACAAAAACCTCAAAGCACACCAAGGCGAAAGAACACTTGGCAATTAAATTAAAGCTTACTATTTAGTGCAGGCAATACACACAGCAATATAAGGGCATTTCTCAAAGGGAAAGAAATTACATTAAACTGAAAATCAGCATCACTTTTTCCTTCCAGTACCCAACATCTCCAAAGAAAAACAGTCTACACTATAGGAAGGGTTCTCTTGTTATAAACATCTGTGACCAAAATTGAGCCTGCCCAGAATCTTGGCAATCTCCACTGTTCTATGGGAGCCCTCAAACATGTCTGTGCCCCAGAATCTCGGAGCACCTTCTCCCTCCTACATTGACAACAACCTTTCTCTCTTCTGCTTTTCTGTCTTTGAAGACAAGAGGTCCCTTTGCCAGGATGGGCTTCAGGAGTTCCTGCGCCCTCAATCCTGCCCCTCTGCTGAGCACCACACCATGATCATGTCTCGTCCTATCCAGGACCTGGCTTCCTCCTCAAATACCACCATCTTTCCTTCCCTCACCAACTTACCTCCACATTATTTCTAGAGCCTCATGTGCCACCAAGATGCTGAAATAACTCCTTCTTAGGCCATCAGACTCCTGACTGTTAGCTCTGACCTCTCCAGCTCTCCGAGGTGCTTGCTTGAGGTGACTGACTTGGCTTGCCACTCCCTGGCCCACGTCAGCCCCTTTCCCTGACTTCCCCGGCTCATCTCTCTTGCTGGCTCCTCTTCTACCTGGTCTGGTGGTGTTCCCTACGGCTCCAATTTTCATCATTCCCCTCTCAGAGTCCCTGCTAATCTTTGGTTTGACATCCAATCTGTGGGTGTAAGTAACAGAGATCAGTTAACGGCCCCCAAGATTCTAATCCAGTCCTGACTGGGGTCCTGAGCCTGCCACAGACCCATGTCTACAACAGACAATGGGTGCCTCAGGCTCACATATCCTTTCTCAGAAAGGTCATATGTGTTCCTGAATCCTTTCCACTGTAGAGGCGAGTCTCTTAGTTTTGGTCTTTATCTTTTACTTGAAAAATTCCAACAGCTTTCCTAACTGAATCGTCTACTCAATGTGAAAGCTCACCCATCCACCCTACACTGCACAGGTCTATACTCACATGACCTCACTACGTGCTGTCTTCACTCACAGAGTTTTTCTCTTCCATTGTTCCACAAGACACAACTTTACTAATCTAGGAAACTCTGGTCCGGGAGGTAAAAGTTTCAAAGAACTTTATTGTTCACACAGGAGCTCTAAATAGCACACAGGAATGTTTATCATCCAACAATCTCTTTGAACCTCACAGCGAGTGCCCCAAAGTCACACCACACTGTCATGATTCTTACCCAGGCCTCATCAAACCCTCACAGGGGAGACGCTTGCTTCCAACCAGACTCTCAAAAAGTCTCATAAATACCCCAGTGGTGCCCTTCCTGTCCCAAACTCCGTTAAGTCACTGGAAGTTCATGTCCTCCCTAACCAAGAGCAGCATTTGCTTAAAGAGGTCATTCTGGTGAGATTTTCAAGGAAAATTCACCCTCCACCTAACCACCGAGGTTATCTAGGATACAGATGTGCTGCATCCATGATTTAAAATATCTGATAGCTGTCCACAGCCTGTGTGATAAACTCAACCCTAACATGCATACCAGTCTGGTTTTTCCCATACATCCACACAGGGGGCGTATACATCTTAAGTTTTGCCCTGCCTCTGATGACACTCTTCCTCCCTTTTTTGTCTCTTTTTACTACCCTTGAAGTCCAAGCACAGACATCATCCTGTCAAACCTTCCCTAATCCCTCTAATGTCTGTGTACCTACTGCTGCTCATCATTCAAATTTCAAGGACTGTGTCTGTTTCAGAGGACTTGTACTTGGCAGACACCAAAGCAAAGTGTAACTATTCGATAAATGATTCTTCGTAAATTAACAAACACTTCTGGAAGGTATTCACCAAAATCTATTGTCTTTGGGTGGTGGAACTATGCATAATTTTTCCTCCAGTTTTTTTTTTTTTTTTTTGCATTTTCTGAATTTCCTAAATGATCAGAGAGCATGCTGAATAGTTTCACTTTAAATAATATCAATTGTATCAAGTTGATTAAATTATAAGACATTAGGATGGATGCTGGCCCTGGTGTTGGACCCTTGCTCAGTTTGCATCCTGAAACAATGAAACACAGAGGCTCAGCTGTGTAAGGCTCCGTGGAAAGTCTCCCAGCTACACACCAGTAGATTGGCTGGAATGTGTCTACCCACATGGCAGCAGGGGTCAGGCACCCTAGGGAGCAGATAGTCCCATGACTCTGTAGGAGCCCTTTGGTTTGCTGGCTCTCTCTATAGAGGAGGCAAACAGTCTAAGTCCTCCACACAACAGAATTAGCTCCCTTTTGTGTGGGTCCTCTGCTTTCAATGGCATGACTAGCAACAGCTCTTTGTATAACAGACTTAAACAAAAAAAGGCTAAAAAGACTAATACAGGCTAAAAACAGATTATAATTGAAAAAAAAATTTTTTTTTAGAGATAGGGTCTCGCTCTGTCACCCAGGCTGGAGTGCAGTGACAGGATCACAGCTCAATGCAGTCTGAAACTCCTGGGCTCAAGCTATCCTCCCACTTCAGCCTCCAGAACAGCTGGGACCACAGGTGTGAGTCACTGCATCTGGCCCATGAATGTAATTTTTAAAATGCCTGAAATCACGTGTAGAATTTTAAAGTTTCAGTGGAGGGAAAATGCTCTTTCATATCAAAAGGTTCCTTGTAAATTTTGTTTACTTTAAAACTCTAATGAGATTAAAAAGATAAAGTTCAGTATACTTACGTAATTGGACAAGTCTTGATTTTCCTGACTCTGAATGGCAGGGTTGGATCAGAGGAGCAAAAGAAACAGCCAGAATCTTTTTGGTTTCCCAAGCTGAAGGACCTGTGCGCGTTATCTTAGTCAACTATCCCAAAGACAAAATGATAATATTCAAAAGATGTGACTACTAGATAGCTTATATTTAAATATAATCATCCCTATATATTCTAAAAATACATAGATACGATAAAATGAAATAACCTGACAATATGGACCCCTAATGTGATGTGCCATGAAGTACACCTAAATTATGCATATTCTTGCAAAAATGCTTAGCCTGAATATGTTCAAGCCCTAGACCTAACTTCTGTTTATAGGCAATACATATGACAGAAAAAAAATATATGATAGAAAGAAACCAGTTAAAGGATAACAAGAAGCAACAATCAGATCAGGAACGTGGAGATTCTTACAAAACAATGTTCCTGGGCTCTCCAAAAAAAGTAAACACTGTGGGCAGAAAGTAGGGAGCAGGGCTGTTCTACAGAAAAATAAAGTAAGAAATAAATTCTGAGTATTCCTTCTTTAGAATTTGGAAACTTGCAAATATTTTACAAAGTTATAAAACAAAATAAAACCTAAAATGGCAATTCCTAAAAAACAAAAGAACCTAACAACCAGTTACAACACTCCAACCTTTACTGAATCTTGTTTTCTCTGGGAGGAATAACTATAAAAAGTCATTCTTGCAATAAGAATGTGATAGGCACCAAATAAGAGATATTGCTACAGAATCACTGTCATTCTGGACATCTAGGTGATTATCCTCATTCTTTGAAGATAAATACTGACGCGTTTAAACAAGCCTCGCCCTAGCATCAGCCCCAGGAAAACACTGAAATTTTGTGGCTAACACACTGTACTGTAGGTTATCAAAACATTTCTTTTGAATTAAAATATTGGGAGCATCAGCCAAACCAATTAGACAACACGGCCCCCTGTCCAAATGGCCTAAACAGCTCACAGTACTATTTTGGGTCAGCTCTGTCATGCTATGATTATATGCTAGCCATTTCTAAAAATATCTAAGCCAGTAAATCCTCTACAAACTAAGACTCTATTTCATGAATCTTAGAACTAAAAGGAATAAGCAGCCATGTACTAGATAAACATCAAAAAACTGATCATATTCTTAAATACTAGCAAAACATTTTTCAAAAACATTTTTAAAAGGAGAATTTCTAGTTATAATGAACATGAAATATTTTTATATAATCAATAAATGATGTACGAAACCTTATAGAAAACTATAAACTCCTATTTTATACTGTTAGATAACCTGGTGAAACATCATAAAGATGTCCACAATTCTCAAATTAATCTAGATATCGCAATTGTAATCAAAAGTCTAATGCATTTTTGCATCACAACAAAGATTTCTAATTATCATTTGTTTAAGACAAGACATTTAAAACATATTCCGAGAAGAAAGAGCAAAGATGAGGACGTGTAAGCCCTGCTGAATACTCCAGCAGGAATCTCACAGGTCAAGGGCTGGAACCAACTCCTCTTTCATGTTGCTGACAGTACTGCCTTTCAAAGGGCAACTGGCAAGAATTTTAAAATGCCATGTCTTTGACCAAGCACTTCTGCTTTTGAGATTGTACCTGGAGGTACAAATACACTATATTTAATCTTAATAGAAAACTACAAATCCTTATCTCTTATGGCTAGATGGGCAGACAAAGTAGAAATGGTGTGTCGCTTCACTGAAGGAGGGTTAGGAAGAGGTGTGTTTGCTTACATATTTTTTTTAATAAAGAGATAAATTTGCCGGGTGTGGTGGCTCACGCCTATAATCCTAGCACTCTGGGAGGCCGAGGCGGGAGGATCACTTGAGGTCAGGAGTTCGAGACTAGCCTGAGCAAGAGCGAGACCCCGTCTCTATTAAAAATAGAAAGAAATTAGCTGGACAACTAAAAATATATAGAAAAAATTAGCCGGACATGGTAGCGCATGCCTATAGTCCCAGCTACTTGGGAAGCTGAGGTAGGAGGATTGCTTGAGCCCAGGAGTTTGAGGTTGCTGTGAGCTAGGCTGATACCATGGCACTCTAGCCCAGGCCACAGGTGAGACTCTGTCTCAAAAAAAAAAAAAAAAAAGATAAACTAAAAACAAAACCAAGAAGTGGTTATCTAAAGGTGAACAGAACAGAGGGGACATGCATGGAAAACATTCTGAGTGTTCCTTATTTAGACTTTGGAAACTTGTAAATATTTTACAAAGCTACAAAACAAAACCTAAAATGTCAATCCCTAAAAAGTTAAAGTAAACAAATGAGCTAACCGGGTGTCAGATTAGTGGCATTACCTTACAGAGAAATACTATTTTAAGTGACTTTAAAACATAGTAATTTGATTGTAATCCATAGTGGAATATAAGGGCAAAAAAGGCCAAAAAACCCTCCGGGAGAACAAGTAAACCATCACCAGAGATATGTAATCTGCAAAATCCAGACTATAGAAAACTCTGTAAAACAAATGACCTGATTCCTTCAACAAATAAATTGCAAGGAAAAAATGAGAGGGAAGAAAGGAGAATCCAGATATTAAGAAACAGTAAGAGATACATGAACCAAATGCAATACATGAACCTTAAACAGGATCCTCATTCAAACAAACTATTAAAGAAATTTTTGAGGCAATAAGGAAAATTTGAACAAGAACTGAACATTTCAAGATATTAACAAATTGCTATTAATTTTTATAGGCTGATAATGGTTTTGTAATGTTTTTAAAAAAAAGAGCCCCCATTTTTCATAGATACAAAATAAAATATTTATAGATGAAATATTCTAAAAATTAAGGATATCCACTAAAGTTTTTATATTATATATAACAATAACAGTGAAATACTATACACATTCCACCTAATGCCCGATAAAAGGAGCTAGTTAATAAACTTAGTCAACAATTCAACAGGATACTACATAAGCACCAAAATGATGATGCAGAATATTAAATGACTTGAAATCACATTCGTGTACTCTAAGTAAAACACTATAAGTTATACACTAGTATGTACAGTAACCTTTTTGAAAAAGGAAGTGTACAAATTAAAAGTTTTACAAGAATCACATACAGGCATCAGGGTAAGACTTGTGAGTTTTTCTTATTGTTCATAATTTATGGATTTTCCAAAATGATTTATTACTTCTTTTGATTTATTACTTTTTGAACAAAATAAATGCTAACAACTAAAAATTACAGAAAAACATATAATCTCCTGCTTTATATCATTTGTTTTTTCTAATTATTTGTGACTAAGACATTCTTCCTGATGACCAATTCATGTCTGAGTAATCTGCTCATTTATTGTAATCTATTTTCCCCCGTGAAACATAGTATCTAAAACATAGACAAACATGCATGACCAAATAACAAAATTTGGACAAGATTCCCACTAAGCAGGGATTCCTGTAAAATGCTCACCATTAAGGTATTTAATAATTAGACTAACAATCAGAATATAATTATTCTAATAATTCTATATATAATAATTCTAATAGAACAAGTAGAATAACAATTAGAATAGCTGGGGAGGAAGAAGGGAAAGAGGGAGAAGAAGGAGAGGGAGAGGCAGGGGAGAGAGCAAGGAAAGGGAGAAGGGAGAGAAGAGGAGGAGAGAGCGAAAGGAGGGGGAGGAAAGGGCCTCAGCACAGGCTCCAAGGTGCCCACCTGAGTCAGGTTCTGGCTCCACCTGGGTTATCTGTCTGACCTGGAAGTTCCCTCACCTGTCCCTGCCTCTGTTTCCTAGTTTGTGAAATGGAGGAGGTTGCTAAAGGGTCACCACCATACGTAAACTGCCTGTCACAGACCTTGGTATTCAGTGTGCAAAAATGTCAGTTATAAAGGGACTCTTACCTTCTCTTCCAGTGGCATGACAAGAACCCCTCCCACTTTGAGCAGATTCTTCATGTACTCTTCATGCTCTTTCTGTACACCAGCCCCACAGTACACTCGATCATACTGAGCACAATCAGGAGAAATCTCCAGGCAATTGCCAGTAACAAAGGAAGGCTCACAAAAGTCAAACCTGTGAGTAAAAAATGTTTTCTGTAACTAAAGGTTATCATATTGCAACAAGTCTACACAGTAAATCTTTGCTAACCACAGGATGTGTGTTAACTGTAAAATCCCACAGCATTATAATACAGTTTACAGAGCCAGAAGCTGGAAGCCACACTTCTAAAAAGAATTACACTACATAAATAGAACTCACGAAACTTCAAACAAAATATCATGAAAGTGAATATCATAAACAAGATCCAAATTTAAGGCAATCTCCAATCATCATTGTCTAGCTCCGTTTTCATCGTCTTATTCAAGATCTACTATACAACAAGATAAGGAAAAATGGATTCAGTTTTTTAAAAATTTTTAATCCCTAAAATAAGAATTTTAATGTCTTGTTTAAAAATGGCAAGAGCTAGTTATAGTTTTAAGACAAATGCAATAATTTTATATTAGAAACAATTAGGTGATGAAAGGTTCTCTACGTTGGAAGTACGAAAATTGAGCAAAGTCAACATTTTGTTTTCTTCTCTTACTATATTGGTGAGAAATTGACTTTCTGTAAGTTTCATAGTCACAAAAACCTAAAGTCCTTAAAAATACAGAATATTTTTTGAAAATTAGAATAGACACATAGGATCACCCTATGTGATCAAAGTTTAATCACATTTGAGGGCACATGAACACTTATAAAATGACTTCTATCTGATCAAAAGCATATCGCAGTATAATTCACACCCTCTGACACAATGGGCATCATCTGGTCTTACTTGTCGAAGCTTTCACTTGTTCTGATGAAAAAGTCCAGTTTCTGCTTTGCATACTCTATCACATCTGAGTGAAGTTCCACCCCATGGTTTACACCAAAAGGACCTAAACGTTTTGAGAATGAGAAAATTTTTACAACTCCGGCTTGAAATCTTGCTCATTTATTTTTATTTTATCAATTCCAACATATCTGAGTTAGCATGTACAATTACAGAAGTCTCATCACATTATCCCTGGTCACCACATCATAAAAAACTTGTTTCGATGCCTGGGCTTCTCTGCTCTTAAACTTTTAAAGAATCATTTGAAAAGGGAAAAAAGCCAAGAGTTCAGAGTGTTACTAATGAATTAAAAAAGAAACATGTATTTGCAAGTGAAACGAACACAGGTCTCCTCTGTTTGTCCAGAAGCAGCATTTAAGATGACTGTTTTCCTCGAAAGGGCCCCCCAAAACACTCAGCTGTGGGCATTTTAATAATGCTCACAAAATAGGTTTCAATCATCATTAAAATAAAACTATGACTCTAAATCACAACGAAACATTTTTTATATCAAAGGAAATTTGTAATTTTTAAAAAAACTGTGAGAAATGTCAGGAGCCCATGGAAGTGCTCCCTTCATATAAAACTGTCTCTAGTTTAAATCTGGGTGAGCAGAGAACAAACTATTGACACTCAGCTTAGATGTATCTCCATGTTGCAGAAACCCAATTCCATGAATGTAAAAATCAGGCCAAAACTCAACTGTGCTGATGAAGGGTAAAACAGTGGTTACCTTTCTGGAAGGGTCGGGTAGGAGAGCCTTTTGGGAACTGATTCTACTCTGTGTCTTGTCCTGGGTGGTGACTACAGGGAAGTGCATGCATATGTAAAAACTCACCAAACTTCATGCTTCACGCTTGTTCATTTACTACAGCTAAGTTATACCACAATTTTTAAAAATCTGCATGTGAAAATCAACAGGGCATGTAGGAAAATATTTAGTAGACTTACATACTACAGTCATAGTGTAGCACTCAACTCCACAATGCAACAGAAATCCTGGTAAATATGCAACCTTCTGTGCATCGCACACCCTCACCCTTTGCCGCCTGGTGTATCTGGTCCCTTTCCTAGTACAACAGCCACCACGCCATGCCAAGGCTTCCCTGGCCCCCTTTTGGACAACTGTACCTGCTGCTTTTTCTCTCAACATCTTTCGTACACAGAGCTGCTGCTAAAACATCCTCTCATCAAAACACATCCTACTTAAGAGGCCATATTTTCACTATTTACCACATCTAATACTAAATTATTCCAAGCTTTAAGACCTTCTGTCAACTCACTAATTTCAATTCCCATTACTCTAGCATGGGAGCATCATCCCAGAGATCAAGAAGAGTTGCTTGTTTTTTTCCATTCATCATATTTTCATTAACCCCTCACCTTCGCTATCAAAACTTATTATGCAGTTAATTCTAATAAGAGATATGGGGCATGGTTCCTATTCCCAAGAGGCTTAATACGAAATAGTAATAACATATCCCTCAACAAGAAGATGACTACAGGGAGTGAGTGTCAGGAAGTCGCACCCTGGCAAAGCAGATCCCATGTCACAACGGCACTTTCTGGCAGGGTGCTCATGAGCTACCAGCTCTGAGGTCGCTACTGTTTCCTCTCCTGGTTGATGAGAAACAAAGAAAAGGACAACCCTGAGCAAAGGGGAGAGAAACCCACAGAACCGGCACAGGAACCTGGCTGACCCAGGATGCAGTTCAACCAGGTGAACGGTGGGGGTCACAGTAAGGGTCTCTGCATTAGATGAAAAACTTCAGGCTTCACATTTGTAGGCACTGGGGGGCCAATGAGGTTTTACTCTGGAATGATTTACACAAAGTGATATTAAGGTTGAGTAAGCTGGAGCATCTGGACACAAATCACTGTCCAGTAAGGTGTGCATCCCCGAGAGCAAACCCTACAGCCACTTCCTTCAACAACATCAGAGCAGCATGTTACATCAACGACAGCAGAAACAGGGCTTGTCTTCCTTCAGACCTCTCCTGCCCTAACATCCAACGAAATTCCCAGTAAATTAGGAGACTTGGAAAGGAGAAGCAACAGTATCAAATTGAAAGCCCTTTCTTCATAACTTCTAGGGCAACAGTCTCCAACCTTTTTGGCAGCAGGGACCAGTTTTCATGGAAGACAATTTTACCACAGACAAGCTGGGGGATGGGGGTCATGGGGGAGATGGAGCTCAGGCAGTGATGGCAGCCACAGGGAACAGCTGTAAATATGCTCGCCAGCGGCTCACCTCCTGCTGTGCACATGCCACCACACCCGGCTTAATTTTTCTGTATTTTTGTAGAGACAACAGGTTCTTGCTATATTGCTGTGGCTGGTCTTGAACTCCTGACCTCAAGTGATCCTCCCACTTCAGCCTCCCAAAATGCTAGAATTATAGCTGTGAGCCACCACGCCCAGACTGTAGACATTCTTGATGTTTCTTTCACAACCATAGCCAGTGCATCAGCAGACCCTGTCAATTCCAACATCAAAAACACGGACTCCAGCCTCCATGCACCAGCTTTACATAGTGCCTCTCATGTGGCCTGCCGCCACGGCAGCCTGGCCTCGCTTCCTCATCACAACAATCTTTTACAGCGTAGATCAGCTCCTGTCCTCCTGTGGCAAAAACCACTCCACTTCACTCAGACTAAAAACAGATATCTGTCCCCCACTGTAGCATTTTACATGAAGTGAGACTTTTATAAATCCTCAGTCATTTGCTACTATTGTTATTAATGTTAAAAATAACCATACTCTCATGTACATTCTCATAATGTATTTGTCTGGGAAAATAATTTAACCCTTTGCACTCAGATGTTGAGTGTGACTCGACACGGTTAGCAAAAATTATAGAGATTAAAATTACTCTCTGAATGTATCAATAATTTGAAATATAAAAAAATCCAAATAAATAAGTTTGTGTGAGAAGAAACTCCAGTTTTTTATTCTACTGCCGTGCTTTGTAAAATCTGGGGTATTTAAAAAATTAAATCCCGAGTAGGATAAAGGAATCGAGAAAAAAGCAAGAGAGTGAAAAGGGTTTAATGGCTTCAAATAAAATAAGCTGTGACAGCCAGGCACAGTGGCTCACACTTGTAACCCTAGCACTTTAGGAGGCTAAGGTGGGAGAATTGGCAGAGAGGATGGCAAGTTCAAGAACAGCCTGAGCAAGAGTGAGACCCCATGTCCACAAAAAATAGAAAAATTAGCTGGGTGTGGCAGTGTGTGCCTATAGTCCCAGCTACTCAGGAAGCTGAGGCAGGAGAATGGCTTGAGCCCAGAACTTTGAGGGTGCAGTGAGCTATGAGGATGCCACTGGACTCTAGCCTGAGTGGCAGGCAGAGCAAGACCGTGGGAAATCCCTTCAATCCATGAAATTTATTGAAAAATAAACAACTTACAGGTTAAAACAGCAAAATAAACAAAAACTACTTGAAAGAACTTTACTCCCCAAAGGACTTTAAAGTTAATTATTCTCACTTGAGAGACAGAGTAACAAGGAAGACTGAGTGATTAAATCATGAGTCTGGAGGGGGGAGGGGAGGGGAGGTAAGTGCAATATATGTAACCGTAACAACATTTGTACCCCCATAATATGACGAAATAAAAAAAAAATTAAATCAAGAAATCAACCGGGTGCAGTGGCTCACGCCTGTAATCCTAGCACTCTAGGAGGCCAAGGCGGGTGGATTGCTCAAGGTCAGGAGTTCGAAAACCAGCCTGAGCAAGAGCAAGCAACCGTCTCTACTAAAAATAGAAAGAAATTAGGTGGACAACTAAAAATATGTAGAAAAAATTGGCCGGGCATTGTGGCGCATGCCTGTAGTTCCAGCTACTTGGGAGGCTGAGGCAGGAGGATTGCCTGAGCCCAGGAGTTTGAGGTTGCTGTGAGCTAGTCTGATGCCATGGCACTCTAGCATGGGCAACAAAGTGAGACTCTGTCTCAAAAATAATAATAATAATAATTATAGTGAGATTGAGATTTACACAACTCTCATGGTACTCACTGTCAAGAGGGAGAGTACACAACAAAAGACTATGGCAGTGCAGGTGGGAGGAGACAGGGAACAGGAGAGGTCCCTCTGGAGAACTCAGGGACTGTGAGCTGCACACAAGCTTCCTTCATCATCCCTCTATCCACCACCCAGTAACATTTAATATCAACATCGGGTAACTGCTAAAAAGTGTCCACCAGGGCTGGCCATCAGCAGACTGCATTTTCTGTGGAAGGAGATATCGCCACAGATGAGCTTTTAGACTCCCTTTCTAGACTTACCTAGAATGAGGCCCACCATAGAGCTGAGGTACCCAGTGCCACTGCCCAGGTTCAGAAACGAGAGTCCAGGCTGCAGATCCAGGGCTTCCATCACCTCCGAGTAGATGCATGGGGCCGAAAGGTGAATGTTTCCATGCTTCCACGCCAAGTCCTTATAAGCATTTTCTTTAAATTCTTCAAGATAATAGTCTGCACGATCAATAGCTCGGAAAGCCTGCTCTACCAGCTCAGTCCGGATATACTGTGCTTCTTTCAAATTGTCTATCAGTTCATCGTTGTCCTCACCAGCACTCACAGCACCACCCATGTTCAAGATTACACTTGGGCAATACTACGATTAAACATTTTTAAAAGAGCTATTTACATTAAAGGTATGAGCAGAACAATAACAGTCCTAAACACATATCGATTTCAAATTCTGAATTCTGAAAATAATACAGATGAAATGTCTTTTGTCAACACCCAGACTGACACCCACAAAAGCCCCCAGACAAGCCAGATTTAGAAAAAGAAAAAGAAAAAAATCTCAGTTCAATTAGAAATTCAGGTAAGCAATTACTAAGAAAATATTAATATGTGTCTGAACTTCAAATTTAAGTGGTGTCCTATGTTTTATCTGGAACTCTACACCCTCAACATACACACAAACACCCACATAAGTCAAACAGTCCGTTCAATCTGTTGGTTTGGATACTCTGATAGCCAAATTTTAGGGAAAAACTCTTCCCAAACAGAACATTTTGTGACAAACACCTCACTGTAACAAAACAGAATCGGTTTCAAAGCTTAAGAGTAGGAGGGGCTGCTACCAGACCCTCCTACCGCCCCTTCTGAAGTGCAGGCTATGTATGTAGCCTTCCCAGCTCTTTAAAAATAAAAAGTACATTTCTTGCCTTCTCCCACACTGCCTTCAAGAAGAAAAAGTGCAGCATGTATCCCTCTGAGCACAACTATTAATATATAATTACCTTCATCTAATTCATAGGAAAACGCTCTTTCATCTGGAGAAGTCTTACTCTTCCTAAAACTATAAAAATATCCTTTCTGATTTTGTAATTATCCTAATTTCTAAGTAATTTTTTCTAAGTAATGGCTTTACTTCACCCGAGACGGTAATGCTTTTCAATATAGCTGATATAAATTGTTGGGGGGAAAAAGACCACCAGACCTCAAGAAGACTGAGACATTTTCTGAATCAGGACAATCTTCATAACAACCTACTATAACATTGTTACTATAAAGTTTATACTTGTTTTCCTCCTCCACAATCCTGTAGATTTCTAACAGAATAAGAATCACTAAGAAATATTGAGGGGAGATATTCCATACATACCCACACAAACAACTGGCAATAGTAATGGGAGAGGTTTTCCCAGAAATGAAAATTAAACCAACACAGGAATGAATCATCAGTTTCTTACAACAGGTGGACAAGGTAGGTGAAGGGTATGGCTTAACCCAAATTCTCTTCTATTTTATAGTCAAATATTCACAATCAAGATTTTAGAGCTGAATATTAAATTTTTCAAATCATTAGGGTGGTCCAATTACTCAATTTTCACAGCCTTTTAAAGTTGTTTCAGAGCCCTTGTTAGATTATGGTCCATGGCTGGTTAACTCAGACAGATGGAATTAAGTCCTAATGAGGTCAAGTTTAATCCTGGATATAAACCCCTTAGTTTTGAGGCTATACCCTAGTCTAGCTCAGTCACCTTAAAATTTCGGGCACTGGTTAAAAGCGGGGTCATATGTTTGGATGCTCAGGGTGTATTGAGAAGACCTGGAAATCATGTATCCTACTCAGTGTTGGGTGAGGAAAGCTACCTCTCCACCCAGAAGCCTATATACAAAGTTCTATCATTCTATCTCAATACCATCATTTTATCTTTAGAAGGTAACCTCCAACTGTATATTGGGTATGTTTCATTTTCTACTAAGTACCTACCACTTATTTTAAACATTTCCACAATTTGAAAGTTTATACCATATCAAAACGAAAGCTTTTTAGTAAAAATAGCTACCATATTTTTACAAGTACCACCTGCCAGCCACAGCCTCATTTAAACTTCACAACGTAAGGAGGCAAACTGAAGGTGGGCAATGAATTTGCTCATGATCACACAGCCAGTGTGTGATGGGGGCAGGATTCAAACCCAGGACTGTCCAGCTAAGGGCCTGTGTTCTTTATACCACCAATGGAGCTTATAAAAATTCTCAAAAGAGCAACATTTTTTACCACACATGTTGGTAATGTTTTGACTATGGAGTAAGCCTATCTATTGCCATGGGTAGGATGCATGTGGCAGAGGTGGTGAACCTGTGGCTTTAAGGACATGTATGGCCTTCTAGGTCCTTAAGTGCGGCCTTTTGACTGAATCCAAATTTTACAGAACCAATCCTTTCATTAAAAGGGGTGCAGCAGAGAAAGATGAAGTTTTTCTCGTCACCTTTGGTGCTTAAAAAAAGAACAATCTTGAAATCAGAAGGCTGCAAGTTTCCCACCCCTGAATGGGCTCTGATATTTATTATTAGCTTTCCTTGTAATCTAATACTCCCTCCCACTGGAAACCATCACTGCTTACAACCATGGATGTGATCATTTATGATATCACCAAAACTAACAACAACAAACACAGATACCTTTGCCAAAGCAAATACTATCACTTTCCCCTAGATTCCACAATGCAGTAAAATCCAAGAATTGGTGGAGAATCATTTTTAGGATGCTGCACTTGATGATACTTTGCACTTTACTATTTGCTGTAATCCCTAATGTTAATATAGTTCACTGCTCTGTACTAACCAGCCACAGTCCAACAGAACACCTTACCCTCCTTCCAATATTAACTGCCAGGGCACATGAGGAAGACTTGTGAAGCAGTAGCAGGCACGGGAAGGTCTCAGGATTGACAACTGAGGAGCTGTGATCGTGGCTTTGTCAACATAAGCATGAAGCTACGATAATGGGAGTCACGATTCTAGCCTAAGCTGGGTTTGCCAACTTAGATATGGAGGATCACATTCCAACTTCGATGTCACTTCTTAAGTGGAACATGGACAAAATAATTTGTTGTGCAAGACGAGCTGGGGAAAAAGACCCCAAACCACACCTTCAGGAAGAATGACGGATAAAACAGATTTCTCATTTTGAAAACCAGAACTCTTACAAGCAATGCAAAAGGACTTTTTTCAAACACAGATGGTCCTCATGTTAGGATGGTTCGACTTATAATTTTTTTGCACGATGTGTTTGTATGGATGCAACCCCATCACAAGTCCAGGAGCATTTTGAAGTACATCTACACTATTCATAGGGCTGACAAAAGCCAGACCAGTGGTCCATGGATGGAGACAATACCTACTAAATACACACAAAAAAGCTTTCTAACAACTGAAATTGCAAATAACGAAATGAGCCCTTTCTTAGAACACCCCAGCCAAGTCCCAGTGGAGATACAAGCAGGGATGAGGCTAGGGGGTGAAGGCACTGACCTCAACAGCTGAATCCCATTAACTCTGAAGTCCCCTCTCACCTGAGCCTGTGGCTTTATTTCCCCCAAGCAGAGCCACGATAATTTCTGATTTGTTTAAAGGCACCTCAACTTCACTAATTCTTGCAGGACATTCTACCACATGCCCAGAATAGAGTTGTTTAGCCATTCCTTTCTGATTAGAAAAAAGAAAACTATTCTAGGCACACGAGCAAAGAGTGCTAGGGTAGATACGTAAATGACTTATTCGAGGTGCAACGCTGGAGCAAACACGGATCAGAGAGGCACATCCCTCTCGCAAAAACAAAGGCGCCAAGCCTAGGCACGTCTCCTTCCTCCAACTGCCAAAGATCTTTTCCACATGCCTGAACTGAAGTCCCAGCGCTCTGCTCCAACTCTCAGCAGCTCCGAAGCGCTGCGGGAAGAGGCGAAACTATTTCTTAACAGACTGTCACCTCCTGAAAAGGTCCAAGGTAGAATTTGTCCTAAACCTCAACTCTTGACTTGCCTGAGCACTGACTGCAAACGTCTCCTACTTCGTAATCGGGGACAAGCTGCAGGTCTGGAGCGCGGGCCCCAGAGCGTGAGCAACGGGCGCCGGGAGGCCGACGGGACCGCGCGAGCGCTCGGAGGCCAAACGGGGGCGGGAGGAGGGGGAGGGGCCGAGAGGAGCCGGGCGCGGGGGGCCGGCGGGGCCGGAGAGGAGGCTCGGGGCCGAGGGAGAGCCGCCCGCCCGCCGCAGGCCGGGCCGAGGGGAGGCGGCGGCGGCGGCTGTACCTCGGGGCTCGGCCGGCCCGCCGGTTCGGGCGGCCTGGGCAGCGACCTGCAGCTCTTCGGGCGCGTCCCTCGCGCGTCCTCGTCCCGGGGGCGCCGCGCCGACCTCCGCCGCTGTAAACATCCGCCGCCGCGCCTGCGCCTGCGCGCCCAACGGCCTGACTGCGCGTGCGCTGCGGGTCTGGCGCTTAAAGGGGCCGCGGCGCTGCCAGGGGGCCCGGACCGCGCCTGGCGGTTCGCGACTCCCCGGAGGGTCCCCGTCCCCGTGCGCGCGGTCCGCGCGGGCTCCGCCGGGCGAGTGGCCCCTGCACAGCCGCCTGCCGAGCCTTGCCTGTTAGGTTGGCGGGAGGCAGGGGCTGTTCTGCGTCTCAAAAGTGACGGTGGCTGTGTCCGGGCCCCGGGATGCGGGTTCGGGACCAACGCTCTCTCCTGCTGCCGCCTCCGCCTGCCCGGCCTCCCTGCTCCGCCTCCCCGGTGCCGGGCCGGGTCCCCCGTGGCCACCTGCTCAGCTCGCTCTGTGAAATCGGCCCTGCCCGAACCGCGCGCGGGGTCCGAGTGCGCTTTGGCAGCAGACCCTTTCCGGAGCAGTGTCACGGCCATCACACACACAGAGTCTCACAGTCATCACACACACAGACACACACACAGAGTCTCACAGTCATCACACACACAGACACACAGCAGAGTGTCACAGCCATCTCACACACACACACACACAAGCAGAGTGTCACGGCCATCACACACACACAGACACACAAGCAGAGTGTCACAGCCATCACACACACACACAGACACACAAGCAGAGTGTCACAGCCATCACACACACACACAGGCCGACACCTTCTCCACCTTCTGTGGGCCCAGGGCGAGCTCACATCTGATACCCAGTGCCAAACCTGTGGCCCTGTGGCTGCCCACCAACCTGGTGAACTTCACACTGGCTCCAGCACCCTTCCTACCTGAGGGCCTGTGGTTACCTGCGATCATGTCAAACGACAGAGGCCCTGGAGCCACCCTTGACCCTCTCCCGCTGTCAGGGGACACCCCTCCGAGCATCCCTCCTGTCATGCCCCAGCTTCCCAACCCTCTCACCACCCTCCCACCAGTCCCTGAGCTAGGCTGATGGTCCTCCTAAAACACAAGCTGACGGATCTGATCAAACACTGCTCTCTTCTGCTAATGGTCCAAGATGATTCCCCTGCTCCCCTCCACATCAGCTCCCACCACTAGCATTCATCTTCACAGGGTACCACCGAAGCACTCCATGTGGGTTACTTCTGTGAAATAGGTACTGGTATTACCTCCAAGGAGAGAGTGGACAGCAGGAGACAGCCTGGCATTCACAGCAAGGCTATGGGGTTCTCCTGTTGGACGTAAACAATCTTGTAGGAAGGAGCACCATCGTGATACAGGGAGAAAAAACATGGCCACGTCATAGTATTGTCTAAGCACAGACAAAAACAGGGTCACTGTGCCACCCATGATGTCCCAGATATGCCCTCTCTGGGCTAGTCGCAAAGCCCCCTGCTCTGCCATCAGCCATAGCTGGGCTTCCCTCTACCCTGGCCTCTCCACAGATAACGTTTGCTGAGATGCCCAGTCAGAGAACTACCCTCCAATTCCTGATGGCAATCAATCTGTGAAAAAAATCACCCAACCCATGCCCACATCCTTTAGCTTTTTCAGTGCCTCTTACTGAGATGCCCTGCAGTTCCCCACAGTGTGCATGAACCCTCACTGCGATGAGTAATAATTCCAACTTGTTCAACTACTGGTGTGTTCCTGGTGGCCTTTGGCTGGAAGACATTGACACCTCCATTTTACAGATGAGCAAACTGATGCTCCAAAGAGGTTAACTGGTTTCTCCAAAGGTGCATAGTTAGTAGTAAGTACAGGAAAATGGAGTTGAATCCAACCACTGTTCCAAACCTTCCTTCGGTCTCCTCCTATGCCCAGCCACAGGAAGTTTTCTAGTTATGTCTTTGGTGTCCCCCTGCGCAGACATCTATCTCCTAGCACCTGTCTACTCATGGTTGGCATATCCGGAGGAGGAGCCTCCAGACATAGGATTGATCGTGAAAATGCCTGAGGCAGGGGAACACCAGGGTGTCTGAGGAGCATTGAGTGTCTACAGGGAGGTTGTGTTGTCATCTTCAAAGTACAGTACTAAGACTCCCTTCGGTTAAGCTAGCCTTTTTCTATAGTTTTTTTTTTTTTAATTGTGGTCAAATATACATAACATTTACCATTTTAACCATTTTAAGTGTAAAGTTCCATGGCATTAAGTACATTCACCTTGTTGTACAACCATCACTATTGTCATCTCCAGAATTTTTTTCATCATCCCTTACTGAAACCTGTATCCATTTGTGCTAAAAATTCTTAGCAAACTAGTATTAGAGGGGAACTTCATCAACATGATAAACAAAATCTACAAAAAACCCCACAGCTATCATACTTAATGGTGAGAAATTCGGTACTTTCTCCTTAAGATCAGAAATAAAGCAAGAATGTTCCCTCTCGCTACTCCTAGCTGATTCAATAAGGCATGAAAAGGCAGAATAAGATATGCAGATTTGGAAGGAGGAAATAAAACTCTTTGTTCACAGATGACAAGGTTGTCTATGTAGTCTATCCCAAAAATATCTACCCAGAAAACTCCTGGAACCAACAAGTAAATACAACAAGGCTGCAGGATACAATAGGTCCCCTTTATCCTTGGGGGATATGTACCAACCCCTACAGTATATGTAGGGAGGCCCAAAACTATGGAAAGTACCATACCCTATATATACTGTTTTTTCCTATACTATAATAAGGTTTATAAATTAGACATAGTAAGATATTAACAATAATAAAATAGAACAATTATAACAAAAGCCTGTAATAAAAGTTATGGGAATGTGATCTCTCTTTTGGCTGCTAAGTGACTAATGGGCAGGTAGAGTATACAGTGTGGATACACTGGACAAAGGGATGATTCACATCCTGGGCAGGATGGAGCAGGATGGCACCAGATTTCATCACATTACTCAGAATGGCACATAATTTAAAACTTATAAATTGTTTATTTCTGGAATTTTTAATTTAATATTTTTAGACTATGGTTGACTTCAGGTAACTGAAATCATGGAAAGTGAAGCCATGGGGAAGACTACTGTACAAGGTCAATATACAAAAGACAGTCACTTTTCTATATTCTAGCAATGCATAATTGGAATTTAAAATTTAAAACACAATACTATTTGCAATAGGACCAAAAAATGAAATACTTAGGTATAAATCTAACAAAACAAGTACAAGGTCTATTTGACGAAGGATACAAAACTCTGATGAAAGAAATCAAAGAAAATCGAAGTAAATGGACAGATATTGTATGTTTATGGGTATTTAAGTTCTTCCCAACTTGAGCCTATAGATTCAATGCAACTCTAATCAAAATCTCAACAAGTTATTCTGTGGATATGAACAAACTTGTTCTTTTTAACTTTATATGGGAAGGCAAAACCCCAGAATATCCAACAAAATATTGAAGAACAAAGTTGGAGAACTGACAACTGCTTTCAAGACCTACTTACCTGGTTTCAAGACTTACTATAAAGTTACAGTAGTCAAGAGAGAATGGTATTGGCAAAAGAATAGACAAATACATCGATGGAACTGCATAGAAAGCACAGAAGCAGACCCACACAAATATAGTCAACTGTCCTTTGTCAAAGGAGAAAAAGCAATTCAATGGAGAAAGGATAGACTTTCCAACAAATGATGCTGGGACAATTGGACATCCACATGCAAAAAACATGAATCTAGACACAGATCTCATAATTTTCACATAAAAATTTTAGGAAATAACATAGGAAAAAATGTAGGTGACCTTGGGTTTAGTGATGACTTTTTAGACAAATCAAACACACAATCCATGAAAAAAATAGGTATGTTGGTTTTCATTAACATTAAAAACTTCTGTTTGTTAAAGACACTATTAAGAGAATGAAAAGATTAGCCACAGACTGAAAGAAAATGTTCACAAAACATGTATCTGATAAAAGACTGGTATCTAAAATATACAAAGTACTCTTAAAGCTTAACAATAAGAGAACAACAAAATTTTTAAATGGGCAAAAGATCTGAACAGATGCCTCAGCAAAGATATACAGACAGCAAATAAGCATATAAAAATGCTAATCTTATATCATTAGGGAATTGCGAAGTGAAAAAAGCAGTATGATACCACTATACACCTATTAGAATGGTCAAAATCCAAAATGCTGACACCACCAAATGCTGGCAACAGTGTGGAGTGGTAGGAACTCTCATTCATTGCTGGTGGGAATGCAAAATGGTACGGCCACTTTGGGAGATACTTTGATAGTTTCTTTTTTTTTTTTTTTTTTTGAAACAGAGTCTCACTTTGTTGCTCAGGCTAGAGTGAATACCATGGAGTCAGCCTAGCTCACAGCAACCTCAATCTCCTGGGCTCAAGCAATCCTACTGCCTCAGCCTCTAGAGTAGCTGGGACTACAGGCATGCGCCACCATGCCTGGCTAATTTTTTGTATATATATTTTTAGTTGGTCAATTAATTT